TGCTCTTATGGTTTCTCTTTTCTTTTAATTTTTTAAAACTACATTTTTATTAATTTTTTAGGGAGAGAAGAAGAAAGAGAGAGAGAGAGAGAGAGAAACATTGATGTGTGAAAGAAACATTAATCAGTTGCCAACTGGGGACCACACCCACAATCTGTGACCTGACTGGGAATCAAATTGGTGACCTTTGGCGGATGGGATAACACTCAACCAACTGAGCCACACTGGCCAGGGAACTGATGGTTTCTTTGTAGCAGTATTATTACTGAAACTCCTTTTAAAAAAATCATTAACAACAACAACAAAAAATCATTAGCTTTTTCATAAGGAACAAAATGAAAAACAAAAGAAAAGCAAACAAATGTAAGAACAAAGAGTTCTATCTACCCTCAATTAGAGTAGATGTCTTCCCATATTTGCCCAATTGCATCTACCTGATTTAATGCTCTTTACACAGAACTATCTTCCTTTCAGTATCACCAAGTATAGATTCAAAGCAAAACAATTTTAATCAAATTCACATGCAGATTATAGTCTCCTCGCCACTTCCTCTTATCACAATTGGCCAGAACTGTGGTACTGCCGTGCTTTATAGAGTTGTAGAATAATTTTCTTTGATGCACATTTCATATCATTTTGAAATGATATGGCCTGTTTAAAAATATGTTTTATAAAATCAATTCTTTCTCCTGTCTTAATAATTTGAGAATATTGGACAGTACAATTTTTGAAAGTTATTTATTTCCATCTTTTTGCCTTTGAAATGTCCTTTATATTGAAATTTGGAGAAAACACTATTAATATTCATCTGTGTTTCAAAGTAATTTTACTTATCCCAAATATATTTTAAAAATACTACAAAGTATATATCATCTGCAGTTATCTTTCAAAATGTATCCTAGAAATAGTCAAAATTAGCAAAAGCAGTTAATCTAAAAATACAAAGAATTTTACAGTAAAATTGAAATGTTGATTTTTTTTAAAGTTTTCAAATAATCTTTAAAAAATTTAAGGTATATCATGTACTCAGAAAAGTATATAAAAATCAGGCAGTCTAGACAATAATAATAATAGAATGAATACCCATTAGCTTAATATATAAAATATTATCAGTGTCTTAGAAACTATTTTAATATCCCTGCTTGCTGGAAAATCTTTGTTTCTCCCATCCCAGGAGGTAACTGCTAACTATTTCCTTGCTTTTCTTTATAATTTGTATTATCTATCCCTTATCAGTTTCACGCTTATTGTTTCGTTTTGAAAACCTAGTAAATGATAAATCCCAACCTTGGTATGTGGTAGGCAGTTAGGCAGACATGAGCAGAGCAAGGATGATGGGCCAGGTACGGAAGGTCACCAGGATGGAAAGCCCCAAGTACCTAGCAGAGGACAGTTGTAGGATGGACCTCCCCCCAAGGATGACCTTGTTCATGAGGTTTGGACACCCTGACCTTTCCTCCCTAGAGATAACATCTAGGCTTCAGTTGTATTTCAGCTCCTGGCCCAGAAAAACAGCAAAATCAGACAAGAGACCCATGGCTGACCTCAGGACCAGCTGCATTGACTAATGACCCCCAGCCCTGGTGCTGACCAACCAATCAATCAGGGGAGACCTAGATTTTGAAAGGATACACATGGAAAGCTGCTGAATGTTCTGATAAGATTTTCCCCTGGGCCCTAGTCAGTTGGCTCAGTGGACAGAGCATCAGCCTGAGGACTGAAGGGTCCCGGGTTAGATTCCTGTCAAAGGCATAGGCCTAGGTTGTGGGCTCAATCCCCAATAGGGGGCGTGCAGGAGGCAGCTGATCAATGATTCTCTCTCATCATTGATGCTTCTCTCTCTCTCCCTTCCTCTCTGACATCAATAAAAATAAAAAAATAATAAAAATAAAGCTTCCCCTGAGACCTCCCCTAAAATCTCCATTCTTAAAACCAGCCGTGGGCAAACTACGGCCCGCGGGCCGGATCCGGCCCGTTTGAAATGAATAAAACTAAAAAAAAAAAAAAGACGTACCCTTTTATGTAATGATGTTTACTTTGAATTTATATTAGTTCACACAAACACTCCATCCATGCTTTTGTTCCGGCCCTCGGGTCCAGTTTAAGAACCCACTGTGGCCCTCGAGTCAAAAAGTTTGCCCACCCCTGCTTAAAACCCTTAGGACAGAGAACCCAGGGCGCTCTCCCTCCTGGGAGCAGGTCTGTGCCTGTGCCTTTCCCTGTCCTTTTAAGATTCCCTTTCCCGCCTACACCACCACATGCGCCACCCCCCCACCCCCTCCCCGCCGCCTTTACCATTACATTCCTCACTCCCAAGCTCCAAGGGCCCTTTATTTCTATAACTGGTTTCCTAAGCCCATTTCTTCTAGGAATTAATTCTTCTAGTTCTGTGATTTACCAAATAAATGCTCTCTTATAGTTTGGGTCTTGACTCTGAATTCTTTCCTAGCCAGAACCCAAGTACCGAGGTTGCTGAGCCCAGATCCAGACCAACCCCACCCGTCTAACACCTAGTGCCGTTCCAGCCGCCTACAACTGATAATGTATGGAAAGGGCTATGTTGCCAATGTTACTAGGTGTACCGCTTAACAATGCGCGTTTTGTAATCAAAGAGAACACGATAATTTCAAGGGAAACATCAAAAGTGCTTTATTCAAAGTAATGTCCATCGCTAGCTACACATTTCCCCATCTTTCAGGTAATTTGTGGACACTGTCCCAATAGAACTTTTCTGGTTTTGAGGCAAACCATTCAGAGACCCAATTTTCCACTTCATACGTTTTGAAGTGCTGCTCAGAAAGTGCATGTGCCATCGATCGGAACAAGTGGTAATCTGAAGGAGCAAGGTCTGGTGAATACGGCGGGTGGGTTAATACTTCCCAGGCAAGATCTTTTAACGTGTCTTTAACTGGTTTTGAAGTGTGTGATGGTGCATTATCATGAAGCAAAATTACTTTGCCGTGTCCTCTGGCCCATTCTGGCCCATTTTATGATCAAAGTATGGTTCAAATTGACCTGGATGTTCTTTGTCTTTCACATCTAAATCATCACTTTTAAAGCATTTAAACCAGCGTTCACAAGTATCTTGAGATGGAGCATGTTCACCATAAGCTTCCCGAAGTATATGATAACTTTCAGCAGCACTTTTCTTCAAAATAAAGTCATGAATTAAAACTTCCCGCAAATGCTCTTTTTTTTGGCATGAAATTTGACATTTTTAAGCATAAAAATATGTATGATGTTAACACCTTCAGAAAATTTGACATATGAAGTTTTGAAGCTTGTTGTCAATACAACAAAATAACATACATATCAAATTGCATATATATATCAACACACGTATAACTCCATCTATTGAAAAAAATCCGCATTATTAACCGGTACACCTAGTACATATACCTTACAAGGAGAACAGAAACTGAACAGAATTTGTATGCTACCAATTGCTTCAGTTTCCCTGAGAGTTTTATTATTAATCCTTACCCAAGGATGTGCTCTTGCTCCAATTTAGTCTTATTGGAATTTATAGTATGGTATGTGAATTATATCTCAATAAGGCTGTTGGGGAAAAAAGCAAACTAGAACATTATACTTCTGAAGGATCATAATAGGATGGTATTTAATTTGATTGCTTTCTTCACCATGATCAACATTTTTAAAAACATTCTGTACCTAGCAATACAATAGTGAGCACTTTTGCAGCCACCATTTTCTTCCAGAACTTTTGGAGATTAGAAGTGCTGACCAAATATCAGGTACATGTTTCTTTAGGAACACCCCTCTTATCTCCCCAAAAAGACTGGGCTAGTGGGCATCTCCTTGAGAGTACAGAGCAGTGATGGAGAACCTATGACACGCGTGTCAGGGGTGACACACGAACTCATTTTTTTGGTTGATTTTTCTTTGTTAAATGGCATTTAAATATATAAAATAAATATAAAAAATATAAGTCTCTGTTTTACTACAGTTGCAAATATCAAAAAATTTCTATATGTGACATGGCACCAGAGTTAAGTTAGGGTTTTTCAAAATGCTGACACGCCGAGCTCAAAAGGTTCACCATCACTGCTATAGAAGGTCAGGAAAGCATCCCCCCCCCCCTTTTTTTTTTAAAAAAGAAATTTTCTGTCAAAATGACAATACAATATACACATAAAAGAGTCCTGGTATTATTTCTAAAGATCTCGTTTTGGGAAAGAGTTTTTAAACTTAAAACATTCCAAGTATCTGCATCCTGATGCTTACAGGACTGGTGTAGGTTCTGGTGGACAAGCCTCCCAGTGGGTTCTGCCTGGTCCTGTGTGTGGACGCCCCCAAAGCCTGGCCGCGGGGGCACACGTGGTCCCGCCCTGCACGGTGTTCCGGCCGCTTCCAACAATGCTCTTCCCCCAAGCGCCGCTGCAGGTGGTGCTCGCGGAAGGGGGGCGGAGAGGGAGTGTGACCCAGCAACGTGCCCACACGGGGGGCGAGGGCTGGGCCCGACTGCGCCAGGTGCGGAGCGGTGGACTCTGACTTTATTCCCGCCGACTTTATTTCATTTTTATTTTTTTTTAAGAGATAGGCGAAAGAATGTGGAGCACATGGGACGGACACTCTTAGGCTCTCTTCTCCCCTGGAAAGTTTGTGTCAGTGGGCAAGTGGCGCCCCCCATGTCGACTCCAGGCTCCCAGCACCTGCAGAAGTTGGGGGGCCAGGTGACCGACAGCGGCGGGATCCGGATGCGAGGGGCGTCCGGGGAGCTGCCTCCCCGCGGCCGCAGGGCGGGACCGGCGGGGTGGGCGACCCGCCGGAGCGGGGGGCGGGGACACAGGGGCGGGTCAACAAAGGTCGGCGATTGTTCCGGGAGGGAAGCCGGCGTGGGCGGCGCGCAGAGCCGCGGGCGGGGGATGTGAGGCGCGGAGGGCGCTCCCGCGGAGAGTCGGGGCAGCGCGGCGAGACCCCAGGGGTGTGGGGCGGGGTGTTCCGGTCCCCGCCCTGTTTCCCCGCCCCTCCCCCCGCCTCCTGCACGCCCCTCCCCCGCCTCCCCGCTGGTTGGAAAGTTTCTAGAACCTCTTCCCAGCGGCCTTTGCGGTTCCAACATGGCGGAGCTGACGGTGGAGGTTCGCGGCTCCAACGGGGCTTTCTACAAGGTACCGTTCTGCCGCCGGGTCGGGTCTCCCGGCGGCCGGGGCAGGTGTGGGGGAGGCTCGGTGGTCCCGGGGAGTGAGGTTTGGAGTCGACCCGGGTGGCCGGACACACGCCCGGGGCCGCTGGGTTCCTGGCGTCTCCCCCCTGCGCCCGCGGTTTAACGGTCTCGGGGTCCGGGCTCCGTTATGTTTTGAAACAAACGTCGGGCCCGTCCGGCGTTTCCCTCCTCGCGGGCCTTTTTCTGGGGTGCGAGTGCGGGCCTCGGCCGGCCGTGAGGGGGAGCCGAGCCGCTGCCGGGCGGCCGGGCGGCCGGGCGGGCGGGCGGGCGGCGGGAGCCCCGGGGAGGGAGCAGGCCCGAGCGCCGCGCGGCGGGGGCGCCGAGGAGGAGGAGGAGGAGGAGGAGGAGGTGGGATTGTGCGGTCACAGCCGCCCTCCCGCCCCGCGGACCGGCCGAGCCGGAGCGCCGCGCCGACCCCTCCCCACCCCTCGGGGGGCGCGTCGCGGAATCTGAGGAATTCACCTTTGTCCGGGGCGCGGGGCTAATAAACTTGAGCGTCCGGAGGAGGAGCGGGGGCTCGGTTGGAGGGTTAGGATCCAGGAGGGGGAACTAGAATGCCTTGAAATGTGGCGGGTTCGAGTCTTTTTTTCCTTTTTCTTTCTTTCTTTCTTTTTTTTTTTTCTTTGCGGCCTGGGGAATGGGGCGGCGCCTGCGCCCCTCTAGTCAGGAAGAAAAGGCGAGAGACTTCCCGGCTGTGGGGTGTGATTTACAGTGTGAGCCAGACGAGGGAAGCGGGCAGGGAAGTGACCCTGTTCTGGACGGCAGTCCCCAGTGGGTTGGCCTGGAAGGTGTTGAGTTTGTGGGGGTTCCCCCCTCCTCCCCCCCACGAGGGTTTTTTTGTTTGTGTGTTTCCATTGGGAGGAAGGAGACTGGTTACGGTGGGATTAGATTAGGGCTGGAAAAGGGAAGAGGAATGGGAGGGGAACCGAGCAGGGGCCGCGGAGCTGAGGAGCAAGCCCGCACGGAGCGGTTCTGCCATTGTAACGGTCTCCGCCGTCCCGCACCCCCCTGCCCCCCCAGGAGCGCCGAGATGGTCCGAGATCAATAGAGTCTCCCCAGCTGTCGCCTGTCAGTCAGCCTCCCGGAGCCGGCAGCTCAAATGTTCGAGAGCCCTGGCTATTTTTATGGAGGGGCCTGCCTGCTCCTGGTGCAGGAGTATTGTGCGCGCGCAGGGCTGCTGCTTGCCACCTTTCGTTTCAGCGAACCTTGTATCCCGCGGGGTTTTACTTTCTTTGGGGGTCAAAATTTCCTATTTTCAGCGATTCCCCTCCCCCCCACCCCCGCCCCCTTGCCTTTCCTGGTTTACGGATTAGCTCTGTAGATTTGGTGTTCACTGTCACCTGCAAACAGCATAGTGGGAAATCACAGTAAGACTGTTGGCGTCTAAAGGCTCTCCTCCCTGTGCTCTTGACAACTTTAAATCTCCTTAGGTGATCAGCGAAGTAGGAACGGCGTGACGGGAAGAAATTTCAACGCGAGACTCGTTCTAGCAGCAGGCTAGGTGTCAGCCTTGGTGCCAGGCAGGCCCTGGCCGGGCCGCTCCGTGGGGTGGAGGGCCCTCCCAGCATGCCAAGGTTGCCGGCTCCATCCTGGGTCAGGGCCTGTGCGGGAACACGAGAGTCAACCTAGGAATGCGTGAATAAGTGGAATGACGAGGGGATGTTTTCCTCTCTTCCTTAAACCAGTCAGTAAAGAAACAAACTTTAGTGCCAGACAAAGGGACCTGAGTAAAATTTGAGTAGCTACTTCATTGACTGCTGTTTTTAAGGAAACCTAGAGGTTGCCTCTGAATGAGTGCAGGCACAAGGCACAAAGGGGCTTACCATACTTTTTCTGTCAAGGGTAAATAAGGTTCATACGCTTTGCAGCAATACTTCCTCACCCATGGAAAAGTTTAATTGCTCACTGTTTGATTACACAGTTCTTGTGTAATGGAGGCATGCTGCTTTTTTTTTTTTCTTGGTCATATTGAAAAGGACTATTTTGTCTTAAATTTTTGTGCAGCATGTAGATGGTAGAACGCCATTGCTTTTTGGCTAAGTATACTTTATGTTGATTGCTACACAAGATAGCCTTCATTTCTTTTTTATACAACTCATTTATGATCATCATTGAAAGTTTTAGTAGACTATTTACAGTCTTACTTTGGCTTCTCAGTATCAAGTCAAATCTCCCTATTTTGGAACTCTAAAGGTACCTGTTGTTGATCCCTACCCACCTATGTGCTAGATTCTACTTAGACTTTGACTCAGTTACTCGGTGTTACCTAACAAAGAAGTGGTTCTTTGGTAAAGTTTGGGAAGGACCCCCAAGCCGCGTTTTTATGTACTAAAATAATTGCATTTGAACATTTGAATTTTACTCTCGCCATAATCCACTGGTACATACATTTTGTGGAAATAGTGGTCTAAAAAACTCTTAGAAGAGTGAGACTGGTGAAGTGGAAGGAAGTCCTGGATTTGAAGTTAAATAAATGGGAGTTCTTATTTTTGTACTTTAGCTTACCATTATCTGGCAATGGACCCTGAACAGACCTCTCTGGGTCTGTTTTCTTTTGTGTAAAATGAGGGGTTTGAAAGAGCTCAGGGCCCCAATATTTTTTTTTTTTTCCTATTTGGAAAAAATTGGGTTAACACACAAGCACTTTTTTATTTTTAACTATGTAAATTTAGATTAATTTGAATATACTAAAATTCATCTTTTTAGAAACACAATTATATGAGCTTTGATAAATGCTCATAATTGTGTAACCATCACCATGATGAAGAGATAGAATAGTTTCACCATCCCATAAATTTCCTTCATCCCCTTTGTAGTCAACTTCTCTCCTAGGTTGTTTTCTGTTCCCATAGTTTTGCATTTTTCAGAATGTCCTATTTGTAGAATCATACACCTTAATAGCATTTTGAGTGTGGCTTCTTTCATTTAGTGTAGCAGCAATTTAAAGTAATTTTTTTCTAATTTAAATAATGCATGGTTAGTTAGAATTTAGGAAATCGATCAGAAATTGCCTTGAGAATAACAGCTAACATTTTGGTGTGTTTTTTCTTCCAGTTGTGTTTTTCAATGTATAGGTGATTGATTTTCCTTTTTCTCCCCTTCTGTCTATACCAGCGGTTCTCAACCTGTGGGTCGCGACGCAACCATTGGAAAACATATAGCATATTAGATATTTACATTACGATTCATAACAGTAGCAAAATTACAGTTATGAAGTAGCAACGAAAATAATTTTATGGTTGGGGGTCACCACAACATGAGGAACTGTATTAAAGGGTCGCGGCATTAGGAAGGTTGAGAACCACTGGATACCCACAGACACACACTTTGATCTAAATGTGAATTGCCAGTGGCCCTGGTTGGTTAGAGCATGGGCCTGAGGTCCAAAGGATCAAGGTTTTGTTTGATTCCTGGTCCAGGGCATGTACCTCGGTTGTGGGTTTGATCCCCTGACTTGTCTGGGCTCTTGTGAGAGGCAACCAATTGATGTCTCTTGCTCTATCCCTCCCCTCCCAAACTCCCCCCCACTCCCTTCCACTCTGGCTGAAAATCAATGAAAAAAATATCTTTGGTTGAAGATTAGATGTGAATTGCCAGTGAAGAATTTCAGTCATGGGATTAGTAGCAATATCATCCTGCCTTGAAGCACTGCTCTGTAAACATTGATTAAAGGTTTTCTCCAGGAACTGAAACTGCATTTCACATATTAATTGGAACCAGTGAATAGCTGAAGATTTGACCAAAAATTAGGATATCCCCCCCCCCCAAAAAAATAAATACACAAATAATAGCATGTTCTGTATCTTTTTTATTTTTTGAGGGAGTGAGAGAAACATCGATGTGTTATTCCACTCATTTATTCATTCATTGGTTGCTGCCTGTATGTGCCCTGAGCAGAGATGGAACCCGAAATCTTGAGGTATCTGGAGGATGCACTAAGCCCTATGCAACTGAGCTATCCTGTCAGAGCTGTGTCTTGCTATTATAAATTAACAGTAGATCTATAGTTAGAGATAAAGACCTGATACTTTGTTTGCAGCCTTATAATATATGGGGATTGGAACAGATGGGAGATATGTTAATTAAGTGCTTGATAGGAGATGTCATTTTTATGGAAATTTGCTTTTATAACCTTTTCTACCTGGAGCATGGCATTTTAGGGTTTATATTACTAGCCATTTAAGATGCCACCCCCCCTTTTTTTTTTAAAGCTGTGAGTTAGAATTTACAATCTATGATTGTTAGAGTATTTACAGTGTTGTGTAACCATTACCACAATCTTATTTTAGAACATTTCCTTTACCCATGCCCCCCCAAAACCTTGTGCCTATTTGGGGTCATTAAAATGCTTTTTAACTGATGTACCTGATAATAAGCTTTGTAATAACATTGATAGCTATGGGCAGGATATAATTTTAAATATAAGTTGAAAGTCACTCAATTTCTGGCTCATATAGAGGAAAGTTTCCATGGTGTTCCAAGGAAATGTATAATTTCTAAGATGGTTGAATGACATATTAGGCCTTCTCTATAGAAAATAGAACTAAATACTTTTAGAGCTTTGTGAGTTCTTTGACTATGTAGTTGACTACAAAACAAATTTTAAAGTATAATATTTTCAAAATCTTATTAACTTAGCTTATTTTAATATTAAAATGAAATTTGATAACAAAATATACAGGTTTAGCATCACTAATGATGATGACCTATGGGGTAATAGTGAAGGAGTTGTATTCTGAGAGTGTAATGACTGCAAAGTTAGTGTAGTTTAGTGTTGACTCCTTTGTGGAGATTAGTTGTTGATGAAAAAGTGGTGGCTGTCAGTAATACTAGGGACACTTAAATTAAAAACATACAATTCCAGATATTTTAAAGATAATTTTTAGTTTTACATATTTAAAATGTGATTATTATAAAAATGTAAAAGAACTAAGACAACTAAAT